GGACAGAATTGAAGAAGAAACGGCTGGGAAACGAAGAGACACGAAGCAAAAGAGAGACGGAGGTTAATTAAGGGAAAACTTAACGACAGGGTTTGTCCAGCCCGGTCCATTTCTATGCGCGGTTCCCTCCTCCTTCTTCCGACGACCGACTTTTACTCGAGTTAACGCCGAAACTTCCCCGTGGATTTTTGAAATTCTAATTCGACCGTCTAATCTGTTCGACTCCTTCCCCCGTCGCTGTCTCTTTCTTGTCCCCGTGCAACCGCGACACGAGCTCGTCTCGATTGTGAATACGCGTAAGTGGGATTCTAGCGGCGGAGACAGAGGGAGTCGCTAGAGGTAAATATGGAAGCGTTGGTGCATACACCAGCGCAACGACGCGAAGAAAGTCAACGAAGCTCGTTCAGCCCTCGTGTTTCCCTCACCGTTAGACAGACACTTCTTTCGTTCTTTCAAATAACACATTTCCGTTTAAAGAAACTGCTTCTAAGGTAACAATGCGATTTCCATCTGTCACGAGAGTCTCGTAAAGACGAAGAAAAATTCTTTGATCCCCTACGCATTCGGAAAACCGAGGTATTTCTCTGTGTGCGCTACTTTTCACGCAACAGTCTTCATACTCGCGGGAGGAATCCTTCCATAGACTACAGTCCAGTGGTAGCACTCTGTATCAGCAGAGCGTGCGCGCGCGAGCACGGCCAACAGCCAGGTATAGAGGCTGAACTAATTGCGCTGTATTTAATTAAGCCGCGGATTATTTCCTTAACGAGGGCAGATCTCTATTCTTCCTTCCGACCACTTCAGCCGCAGCCTTCGCTTCCATCTTTTACGGTTTTCCATCTCTGCTTCTACGAGAGGAATGGAGAAGATCTTGAAAATCCGTGGCTCCACCTCTCCCGCGACGAGCTCCCGTTTTGTTATCCCCCTTACCCTTTTCCTCTTTCCGTGGTTTCTGTTGCCACCATCATTACCGCGGTGTCACTGCGGATTCTCTTCCACCGCGTAGAAAACACACGATCGTCGATGCATTACATCCACAGTCCATTCTTTCCACCGTTCCGATTCATCGATAATGTTTACGCTCCGACACTCGTCGTCGACGTCGAATACGCGGGTCCATTTAATTTCGGCGTGCGCGGTACACTCGCGAAAGGATGGTTCTTTTTATCGTTAGGACATGCTTTCCTCGTTCTTTCTAGCTATCTCCTACATATACATACATACACTCTCGTTTATAAGAGTTGGGACACTTATCAAATATACAGGAAAATGTTACGAAGGCATTACTGAAATTCTGAAATAAATATTCTTCGAGGGATATTAACCCCTTGCCCTACAATTTTTACGTCTGTAAAAATTGAAATGAAAGGAATTTTGTACCTATCGCCACTGTCTTTTTACTGTAAAAGGTAAATATTAATGCCAGCGAACCGAACAATATTCTTTTTGGTTAAATCGATCTTGAAATCGTCAGCATGTGTCTAACTCGATGTTATAGGGCAAGGGGTTAAAGTTTAATGGACGACGTTTATGCTACTATAACGTCATAAAAGTGGCCTAAAATATATTTTTACGGATGAATCATTTTTATGGAACATCACATTTCCTTTATACCGACTAGGTGTTCTAACACTTATGCACGGTAGTCTATATCGGAGCTGAAGTTTATTTTACTCCGAGTGTTCTGTACTGCGAACATCATCTTTTTTTCAGCAACATCACCGGGAAACGAATTTTCTCGTGGACAAAAGGAACAGATGTAACTTGCTCTTTGTTCGACGTAACGAACAAGCGTAATTAGCGTCGAATCGTATATCATCGAGCTAATAAGCGTTTCGTTGATGATCGTCTATAGAGGGTGTCTCAGCTAACTTGATCACCTCGAATAATGACTGAACGGTATACCTTATGAAAATTTTGAGGCATGGAACTTAATAATAATTTTTAATACGTACTTACTATCTGGAAGTTGTAGGTGCTCGAATTGATGCCGATTCAAGCGATTTCAATAAAGTGATTATTTTGTAAATATCTTGTTAACCATTAGGTTTAGGACGTATAAATATAAAATGATATTCTACCGATCTATGGTGCAACAAATAGGTCAATCTGTTAAAAAAAATCAAGACCTTGAAATCTCTGAAATGCCTCCACCCAGAAAAATTTTCATAAAGTGTATCGTTAGGTCATTATTCGAGGTGATCAAATTAGCCGAGACACCCTGTATATGTCGTGTTCCGTACGAATCGACGCGATCGGGGCTTCGCCACGTGTATCTATCTTCGCGTCGCATGCAACGGGGAATAAAAGCTCGACGGTGACACGCGTCGGGCTGCAATCGGAAAACTAATATCGCGCGTGATTCACGTGCCGGGAATCTGTTCCGAGCGATTCATTAAACTCTCGTGAAGCCGTCGATCCCTTAAATCCCTCTTCCCGGCCGCTATTTTTTCGAGCGGACATCAGAAAATCACAGAGCTCATGGAGTTGTTTCGGTTTCATGGGTGGACTACCGAGGGAGAGAGAGAAATGGTCGGCGAAGCACGATTCTCAGCGTCCGAAACAAAGGTCGAAAGTACACCGCGTGTTTTCTCTACCGAGAAACCTTCCTTCTCCTCCTCCTCTCTCTCTCTCGTTGCGTTGAGAATAACCTCGAAGGAGGGCGAAAGGGAACTTAGATCTAGTCCGGCAACAAAGTTTCCGAGTCGTTCGACCGAGGGAAAGAAGTCGGTGGTCGGAGGACTAGGGGGGTACGGGCGCGTATCGGTGGCGAGCATCATCGGCAATAGGGGAGAGCGCGATATGAAAGAAAGGGAAATGACCGATAAAAAGGTGGTCCGACGTGGCAGGGGCGCGGCGGAAGGTTGCCGGTTACGAGGGAAAATCCAATGAACGGACGCAATCTAGGAACTCTTGGGAACCAATCTCCTCTGATGAAAATACCTCGCTCAAAGCGGACGGTTCTCCAGCCGGGGCCAATTTCTACCGTGACTCTTTTTTGGAATATCGCGTGCAAGCAGGGAACGCGCTTCCTTTCCTGCTTCGGAAATTTCAGTCCCGAAACGAGACAGGAATCTCTCGCCTGTCCTTTTTACATCCGTGGCCTGTGTAATCGTTTTCGTCGCCCACGCCGAGCGGATAGTCGGACCGGAAACGCCTAAACGCCTAATGCCTAACGACGACGACTACGACACGGATATCGCTGTCCATTTCTTACCCCATTCATTACCCTCGAGGCGTTTTTGCGGTAGGAAATAGTCGAGGAATTCGCGCTCGGACCAACGCGTGCACGTAGTCTTCGCGGGAAAGACGCGGGAACGGCGAACAGATAAAGATCGAGCAATTCCACGTTAGCCCCGGAGCTCTTCCTGAGACCTGCACTGCGACATTTATGCCGTTCTCACCCTCGACTTTCGCCTTTTCCTGCCTCTTTCGATCCCCTTCCTGTTTCCGTCGTTATCCCCTCTATTCCCTTTTCGATCGCTCTTCTCTTGCTCGGCCTCTCGCCATCCCCCACGAAAGGCTTCTAACCGATAGGTTAGAAACGGAAGAAGGTGCGGGATTGTCGCGAAAGATGGATTCCGGTATCGAAGGATCGGGGCCAGGATTTTTCTGGTTATATTCTTGCCCCGAGCTATACGGAAGATCCTGCGATTCTAACGTACTTCACCACCGACTGCTTTCGAGAGCACCCATGAATGTTATAACCTCGGCACCTCGTGGATTTTACGATCGATTGTCGCCCAGTAAAGATCCAGCATCGCGACCGGCAACCATGTACCTACTCTTTCGCGTTTGGGACTCATCTCGAGAACTCTGTGTATCTATGTACCTAAATGTTTATTCGATAAAGAACTTACAGACTCCTCTCGATTATCATCTGGCTCGTTCTACACGATTATTGTCCAAACGTCATCCCCACCACTGGGCGGTAGAGGCCGTGGAACCTGTCAAGCGCATACTTTGTTGCCGAGGCTCGGAATTCAGGCAAAAAACGAATTTACGAGGGTCTGAAGATGTTCTGCCTACAGGATTATTGTCCCGGCGCGGACCCTTGTTCGGGACGATAATCGAGAGGAGTCTGTATAAACCATTTTCAGGCACACGTCATTTCGTACAAAATTCGTTTCGTTTAATCGCGTGCCACGAACAGAAACGGGCCGTCGAAGGTATGTCCTCGAGTTTCGTCCTCCTTCAGCCAAGATGATTTCGAAAGATCCACCACTCGAGAAGTCTTTAACTCGCGATCACGTTCTCGGGATTAAGCGAGAAAGCGTAAACAGCCCTACGAGCCAATAGAGTATCCACGCAACGGATACCGTCGAGACAAGGACGACCGACCCAGGACGGAACAGGGTAGCTCGGCTCGTCTTCGATTGGCTCATGCATTTTTCAACAGTCGCCATTTGTTTGATCAGACTGGGGGGGGGGCGACGACTCGACGCAAGGCGAGGCGACGCGCGAGTCTGGCAAGCGAGCGTGTGTTTGCACGCGTACCATGGAAACGAGGGAATGGATCTACGAGTACAGAAGGATGCTAACGCGTTAGCGGCAAGCTTCCGCTCGTTCTACGATCGACCGACTGCTCCAGGCCCTCGGCTGTGCAGCCACTATCCGGCGTAACGTTTGCTCTCATCCTCGAAAACGAAGAAACACACTTTCCTCGAACGCGTGGATACCACCGACCGACCGTTCATCGATTTTTTTTCCGACACCGCCCACCCTTTTCCACCTCTGCCGCCGAAGAGGCTAATACGTCGTTCGAGGGTCCTTTTCAGCGTGCCGTTAAATTTGCTCGACACCAGAAATTACAGCGCGTGTTTTTCCTTTTTCTTTTTTTTTTTTCAGAGGCACCTAACAGCGTCGCTTTGATCCCGACTAAACACTTCTACCATTCGTCGCTCGTTTTCTCTGTCGAGAGGAAAATAATAAACCCGTCGTTTCGACGACGATCGCACGCGATCCCACAAAATCGTATCCGTTTACGCAAGCGTACTTACCGATCACGGTCAGGTTGTAGCGAAAGCTACGGGTCTGCCCCTTTCGGAAGTCCACTCTGCACCTGTAAGTGGCCGCGTCGTGCCTCTTGATGTCCTCGATCACCAGAACCGCGGGGCTCGGGAACGCGGTCCGGAAATACGCTCGAGGCCCGAACACGCCGGAGTCTGAAGAGTGTTGCGCTTTGGTGACCGATTTCTCTCGGGCATCGATCCTGTAACAGACGAACGAATCACACCCGTTAAATATTATCAAGCAAGGTTAGAACAGAATTGTACCGGTCCTATTCGACGATTATTCGAACGATGGAACCGATTCGCAGTTCTTGCTGTCACCTCCTTTTTGCGCGCGAACTCGCGATGAAACTGTGGTAGTCAACGGAGGTCGTAAATCTCCGTTATGATCGTTATCGACACCGAAATTCCGCGATTCTTAAGAGGAATTAACGTAATAAGGATAGTAGTTTTTAATGAGGTACAACGGAAACAGTGTATGTGGAATTAATGATAATAAATAAACAAATTATTGATACAATTATTGACAGATGAATGATCACTCTTCAGCTGTTGCTGGTAGACTGACTTTTAGACGAACTTGAAAAGCAACGAAAATATGCATTTTGCCTGATTGGCGAAGGCGGTTGCTAAATACTGTCCGTTGATTGGTTGCCCTGAAGGAGGAGAAATCCGTTGGCTTTTCTAGGATGTCGTGGGGGAAGAAACCTTTCCTTCAGAGCGACGTGTACACGTGCAACTCATTAAGTTGACCGAAGGGTACAGCAGTGTTTATGACTCTTTGTTCCGATTTCCGACTGTCGACCAAATGTTGAACTTTTTGACGAGATTAAAATGGGAAATAAATGCATACAATGAGAAATATAATGAAAAGTCTGAAATTAAGAAAGTTATTTCTAAAAGTCGTCCGAGCAGCGAAAACACCCCCGAAGGATTAGCCGAACGCATCGAATAGCTTGTTCCGTGCCCGGTTAACGGGATATAAATGTAATTCACCATATTTAACGGAATACCATGGCGGGGAAGGTTCGAACCTGGTTGTATTTCGTAAATAGGACGGTTTCAGTGTTTGTAAATGCAATAAACGTTATTACGCGCATGCATCCAGTTCCAATCGGACGCGATCGATAATACTCGAATCGCAGGTAATTTCACTTTAATCCAGAAGCTAATAAAAATACAAAGAGCAGAGCGAAAATTCCGTCGGTTGATCGGTTCCGGAATAACCATTTCCCGCCCGCCCCTTCATAGTAGACCGTACGAGCTGGCGTTCGATGAGAAGCAACCTGGGGGAGTTTCGGGGAGACGGAAAAGAGATACTCCGATATCCATTGTTCGCATTCCCGGAGACTTCCGTGGAAACTTCTTGCTTTCCCCCGCTTTGTCTTTGTCGTTTCGGTTACTCCTCCTTCTCCCGATCCTCGATCCGGTCCTTCCGCTTTTTTTTTTCTTCGCTGGGACGCCCCCGACTCGCGCCAGGAATCCGAAGAATTCGCGGAACGGGGCCGCGGTATTCGATATGTATGTAGGAAACGATCGCAATTTCCGGCCAATGAAATTCGAGCGGAGCGCCGAGGTTTCATTGTAAGGGGCCGACAAACAGAGGGGAACCTAGAGGAGGTTGCTCGAAAAAGTCTTTGTCACCGGGACTCGTCGAATCGCCGGTGGCACGACCTTGCCTCGCCACACCACCACCACGGTCAGGGAGAGCTTTCCGGGCTCGTCTACTAGAGAATATAATTATTTCGAATCGATGGAATAATTATCGCCGGACGGGCGTGCGGCGAGCGAACGGGCCGAGATAACGCAATTAAATCGAAGCCCTATTATCCGATATTTCGTACGCGAATCGGTATCCCGTTCTCGTTTCGAATTCGAAGAAAAAACAACCAACACGACTGGCCCGTAACAGATTACAGCCGTAAATAATAGGCTCGTTCCGTGGGCGAATTTATCGTCCGACGCGTGACGAGACAAGCAACAAATTCGACGACGAGCACACGATCGTTAATGTACTCGTTGACACGGTAAACGTCTCTCGAGCGTCATTTTTTAGCCGGCCGGTATTCGATGAAATTTTTCCGGTGGAGTGGCCCAACAGCGACGGGAGCAGCGATGGGTGACAGTAGTGCATACAAGGCGGAAGCGGATCGCGATATAAATGATGCAGGATGGAAGGCGGTGGGATAGGTCGGTTAAAACGACGGAGATTGATGAACCCCTGTGGCCGTTGTGTATCGTCGGTTGGGAGAGGAGAGGGGGATTAAAACGTGGCTGAAATTGGCCCCGCCGCGCGTTCCCCCAGTTTTCTTAGAGAAACGCCGTCTCATCGTTAATTCACGCGGAAAAATTTACAATCGCCGACTGGAGATTAGGCAACACGCCGCTTACACTTTATCCCGGCGATCGTACCGTGATTTTTTATTCAAATTTTATTCGCCAACGTCACGCTCGAGGCGTTAGACGTTTTCAGTTCCGGATGAAATTCTGCAATTACGCTGGTTAGCTGCCGGTAATACTTCGTCTTGGAAATTCAATGAAATTTTCAAATAGCCGCGCGAAGCGACGTTAAACCGCGGCCGGGAAAATTCCGCTCTGCGATATTCATTAACGAATACCGTCGCTAAAAACGTCTGGATCGGTGCCCGTGTTATGGCTGGCGATAAAAAAAAAAAAAAAAAAAAAAAAAAAAAAAAAAACCCGGGGGAAAAAAAAAAAAAAAAAAAAAAAAAAAAGAAAACGAACCGGGCGAAGAAGAAAAAAAAGAAGAAAATGTCAAGTGAAATACTGTTATGGAACGAAGGCTTAATGCGCCATAATTATGTAGCATTAGCCGGTGCCGTATAACGCGCGCTATGCCGTAATTACGCGGTATTGCGATTCTTCGTACTTACGACACGGCCTTCTCGACGGTCTATAAAATTAACTAAAGTTCGCGGATCCATTTTCCTATGCGCGGCTGGCTGGCCTTTCTATCCGATCCGACGCCGGAATATATTTATAATTGAAGAGGGAAATGAGTTCGATTGACGCGTGTCCCACGATGTCCGAGCTTTCCTAAGGAACAATCGGAAACGTCGTTCCGGCTTTCGTCGAACGAACGAAATCGCGAGAGATTTAAAAGTTTCCGCAGCAGTGGAAGTTTGCCGCGCGAATCGTGCTTCATCGTAGTGAAACTCGAAATTACAAAACGTCCACGTTAAATCGCGGAATCCAATCCAACGAGGTTCATTAATTGTCGACAACTATTCGACGGAACTCTCTCGGGTTTTACAACAAATCGATTCGTTCCGGTCATGGTTGAAAGGCCGAGAGAGTTTCAGCGACCGTTAAACTGTGGAATAGTAGAAAAATGTCTGAGCAATTGTATACATATATTTATGCAGGTAAGTAATAGTACGATCGAACGAAAATGATTCCATACAAGCGACGAAAGTAGACAGATTTATGGAGAACATCCCCTGTGGACGCAATAACAATAAAGTTGGAGGGAACGCGTATCAAAAAGGACATCGTAAACACGATATTTTTGATCTCCGTTGAATCGATGCTCGAGGCAAGCTGAACTCGAAACATTCGTCGAGATACTTTAATAGAGTCTATCGCGTATTTTCCTCGCAAAATTATTATTATTTTACTCGGCGTCGCGTAGTCGGTAAATCTTCGGGGTCGGGACATCTCGCGTCCGTGAAACCGGCTGGATCGCACGTATGTATTATAGTTACGTAGTATACCAACGTGCACGACGTATAAATAATTAAACGCGAACGTTTTCGCGACAAATCCACTCCCACTCGTCGAGTGTACGTTTCCTTTCGGGAAGATTTTGGTAAAGTAACGATAACGTGTCCTCGCTTGCTTGATTTTCCATCCGGGTAGGATTCGTTCGATAGCGCGAACGATGACTAGATTATTTATTTATTTATTTATTTATAAACGGGTTGCCACGTGTCACAGTATATATAATTAATCTTACAAGTTGCTTAAATGTTTAACCCGACTCGGAGAGCTTTCTGTACATTTGATTTAAAAGATGATGTCGAGTTGCCAAAGAAATTTATGTTGTTATCGAATTTCTTAGCTAAGTTTGATAATCCGGTGATGAAGTCGGTATGATCAAATCTAGAGGTATATAGCATAGAGGTAGATTATCCGTGTTCTCTGTAATTCGAAACTGTTTCGCTAACGTTTATTTCGTATTATTAAGTTATACACCATCGAACGCGGTAAGGGATCGCGTATCTTTCTTTCGCAGGCACCTATCGTCGACACAGACCTCCTTTCAGCCGTTGGCCCGAGAGGATCTCTGCAGCGGACTGCTCGATCCACGTCGAAGCGTCGCCGAGTAATACGGAATCGATGTCTGTTTTATGAAACGTTTTATCTCGCCGCGCAGCCCACCTTCCAATATTTCGTCTCATTCGCGCTCCACCATCTTCGCGACCTCTTTCTCTTCAGATCTCCTTCCCGATCCGCTTGACCCCTTTCGGCACCTCTCGCTCTTTTCCTTCTTCGCCGTTAGGACCCCACCCGCCCGTTCCGTTCGGCCCTGTCCTCGTAAAAGTGATACACGCTCTCCGGGCGAAGGGTAAATAGCGACGGCAGAAATATATGCAGCTCGGACCCGTGGTGGTGGTCCGCCACGCCATCCGTGGCCATTTTACGACCCGTACTTCTCAACGTTTTGCTCGTTAGTTCGGTCTACGTCGCCTTTGTGGCGAACAGGTTGCTCTGGAAACCGAACGATAACGAACGTCCACCGTAACCGGAGTTATCGAGTCGATCGGTTATAATACCGAGGCTCGGCGATATTGTTAATTCACGGCTGGCTTCAAACGGAACGGTTTTATCGCTTCATTTTTCTCGGTCGTACGACCAACGGATCTATTTCGAGAATGTCGAATTCACGTTCGAACCAAGGCGAGTAGTTACCGTGTCGGACGTGTCCAAATGAATTATCGGCGTGAAACGATTCGGTTTGCGTGCAACACACGGCGTACATAATTGCCAGGAACGCGTGAACGTTCCTCTTTCTTTCGTCGTTCGTTCGTTCGTACGTTCGTTTGTTTTTTATTCAAGTATTTCGCCCCATTTACGTTGCTTTCCATCCGCAAGCTTTACCGACACGCTTCTCCTTTTTCCTCGACTTTCCGCGGTTTCCCAGCGGTTCGCGTTCCCCCTCGTAAAAATGATGCATGTC